AATAAAATAAAATAAAATAAAATAAAATAAAATATAAAAAAATTGTATAGTCCCCCTAATATACTCATGTTATCCTGAGCAGATGGTCCCCTTGTACTGGAAGATGGTTCTGACATTTAAGTAGTATAAGACTATACTTACAAACAAAGCGGAAGAAACACAAATAAACAAACAAATTAAAAAAATAATCCCGACTGGTTACTTTGCAAATATCGCAAAAAAAAAATCAAAATAGAAACAGAATTTTCTACCTACTTCCAAAGCATTCCTGCCAATGTGAAGAAGACATGCCCTAAATCAGAAGCCGAACGCTGACACAATACACAAGGATACAGAGGTGACTTACACCTTCTACCCTGCCCTGGAACAGCCAGTTCTGAAGAGCATGAGCTTGTGGGACCCAATTACTCTCAACACCAAACGCAGAACCTTTTGTGTTGTGATCAAGCAGTGGAGAAGTGATGAARCTGGGGCTGGAGACTTGTCTGAAAGGCAGATCTGGGACTCAAGCAATGGTAAATTCCTGCCTTGCTAGTGAGTCCCAAAGGGATTCGTTAAGTCATCCTCTGCTGTTGACAGCAGGAGCTTTGRGAGAGRTTTAATGAGTGCCCTGGGGGTAGCGCTGTGGGTCCTGTTAGTCACCTAGCAAATCTGGGTAGCCACAGCTCACATAGCTGTTCATAGTCCATTTTAATGTTCACCCAYAAAGCCACGTAACTCACTTTGCCTTCTCAAAGGTCTTCTAGGTGAACTAAGAGCAAGTTTCTGTCCAGGGAGAGCAGAATGCACTCCACGAGCTCTGCCCAAATCCCTTGGACAGSGATCATAAAGTCAAGGTGGAGGAAGGCCTCTGAGTAAGAAACAAATCCCTGCAAAGACTGCAACCATTGCCAGTCAAAAGGCCCAATGAACTGGCAAAAGATTGCTGCTTCAGGCATTCATCTTAAGGGATTTGCTTAAAAAAGGAGAAATAATAAAAAATAGGGCTAATGAATTCAAACATTATGCTTAGTATCCCCTGGCAATAGCAGTAAAGAAAATCAAGCACATGCAGGGTTATTTTCTCCAGTTCTTCATTTGCATCCTCAGTTGCTCTGTCAGTAAGAACTATAGAAGTTTAAAACTGCTTTTGAACAGTGATAAGAAAASAAATACAAAATAAAGGCAAGAAGCAATATATTTTGTATAGTAACTTAATCTTGGATGAATTTGTAGTCCTCCAATTCTATGTATTTCTCCATGGGGCAGGAGAGTTCTAACAGCCTCATGAGCATGGGGAAATTGAGGTACCAGGATTGTCTTCACAGAAGGAGATTAGAGGCCAGTTTGTCACAGTCAAATTTATCACTTGTTGATAGAGCTGAAAAACAGCAGCTGACCCTGGAAAGTGTCGCTGCTTTTGCCCCTGACCTTTATTTCTGCTCTGTGACTGCTTTTCTCCCAGTTAGCTTGGGGAGTGCCCACCTCTCACTCTCATTTCCCAGGATGAAGATCATGGGGTTTAGCAGGAGSCAAGGGYTGTTCCAAGTTGATACCACAGAGCCCTTGGTGAAGCTGGTGCAGAGACAGGACTACTTGAAGAGACATTGTCCAAGGAAGAGCACTGCAATCATGAGCCTGATGGCAGAAGCACTGAGGGTCTGGTGCAAACCTTTGGACAGATGTCTTTTCAGCTAGACCAGGAGGGTGCCAGAAGAGAGCAGGGGAGCCATGAAGATAGATGAGCCCAGAGCCAGAGATCAGCAGCATCTAGCAGTGTTGTTGGCATGTGTGCAAGCTGCCTTAATCACTAGCAACTCATTAGAGACCTAACTNCATTATGCTTAGCATCTCCTGGCAATAGCAGTAAAAAAAATCAAGCACGTGCAGGGTTGTTTTCTCCAGTTCTTCATTTGCATCTTCAGTTGCTCTGTCAGTAAGAACTATGGAAGTTTTTGAACAGTGATAAGAAAACAAATACAAAATAAAGGCAAGAAGTGATATATTTTGTATAGTAAMTTAATCTTGGAAGAATTTGTAGTCTTCCAGTTCTATGTATTTCTCCCTGAGGCCAGAGAGTTCTAACAGCCTCATCAGCATGGGGAAATTGAGGTACCGGGATTGTCTTCACAGAAGGAGATTAGAAGCCAGTTTGTCACAGCCAGATTTATGACTTGTTGATAAAGCTGAAAAACAGCAGCCGACCCTGGAAAGCATCGCTGCTTTTGCCCTGGCCTTTCTTTCTGCTCTGTGGCTGCTTTTCTCCAAGTTGGCTTAGGGAGCGCCCACCTCTCACACCCATTTCCCAGTATGAAAATCATGGGGTTTAGCAGGAGGCAAGGGCTGTTCCAAGTTGATACCACAGAGCCCTTGGTGAAGCTGGTGCAGAGACAGGACTACTTGAAGAGACACTGTCCCAGGAAGAGCACTGCAACCAGGAGCCTAATGGCAGAAGCACTGAGGGTCTGGTGCAAACCTTTGGACAGATGTCTTTTCAGCTAGACCAGGAGGGTGCCAGAAGAGAGCAGGGGAGCCATGAAGATAGATGAGCCCAGAGCCAGAGATCAGCAGCATCTAGCAGTGTTGTTGGCATGTGTGCAAGCTGCCTTGATCACTAGCAACTCATTAGAGACCWAACTGCCCAATCCTATGGAGTAGGACAGTTTGATCCTCATTGCAGTCAGTCCCAGACAGGGATCCCTGTCCCCACACCATCCTCTTGTATGAGTGTGAGGTAGTACCAGGGTTGTGATTGGCCCCACAGTAGTCATAGGCCATTATATCAAGGACACAGGTATAGGCAGAGATGAAGGAAGAAGAGCGGGGCTGTTCATCYGGGCTCAAGAGAGGATCTTTTGAGGACCAAGAAGGTCACCCATAGTGTATAGATGTACAGATGTGGATGGTCACCCRTAATAGATGTGATAGMTGAATGGTGRATCTYRGRGRAAAACAGGGTTGCTGAGGAAGACACATGTGGTTATGAGAAAATATGGATCATATGGATGTGTGGTCCTGATGGGAACTTGGCCAGCGTGTAGTCTCACAGGTTGGGCCAGCTGTCACGTTCTCTGCCAGGCACTGACTCCTCACCAGAGCTTCCCTGGGTCTTCTCACTACCTGTAGTCAGTGCGAAAGGAGAAACCCCTTGAAGGCAATTCACACTCTTCCATCACTCCTATCAAATAGCGATTTTAAAGCAGAAGAGGGCACAAAATTTTCCCCTGTAGTTCTCATCTTTGCTGAATGAAGCACACTCTAGTGTGTTTCAAACAGGGAATACATGTCGAACTGCTCTCATTGGTGTTTTTGACCTGATTGTTAATGTTATTCGTTTTTCTAGTTGGAATTCAAAGGGAAGGGAAAGGGGAAGGGGAAGGAAAAGGGAGAAAGAGAGAGA